CCTGAACAGTGGGGCGAGGGGAGGCCCAGTGAAAGCAGGTGGAAGAGAGGGTTGGAGTCCCCTCAATTTGAAAGAAGGGAAGTAAAAACCGCATTTATTGCCCGAGACATGAGAAACCACAATTTAAATTATGAAATATACTTTAACAGAGCACGTATATGAATAGTTGAGCACTTATGTACCCATCATCAGGTTAAAAACTAGAATATTACCTGAGTCTTGTAAGTCTTCGTTGTGTCCTACCCTCGTTGCATCCCTTTCCTTTCCCCTAGAGCTAACTGCCAAACTAAATGTCTTTGTTTCCTTGCTCTTCTTAAGTTTTTAAAACAGAGAAGTTCAATTGTGACTATTTTTGACCTTTTTGTGAATGCAATCATACTGTACGCATTCTGTTACTTTGGTTTGACTAGCCTTGTTTTGAGGTTCAGCTGAGTTTTTTAATGCAATTATAGTAAATACATTTCCACTGTTGTTTATATCCATTGTATGAATATTTTTACATTCTGTTTGGGTGATTTCCTTTATTTAGCTATCACAGAACATGCTGATATAGGTATTCTTGTATATATTACATGGAATATATGAACAAGAGTTTGTTTAGGGCATACTAGTATATGAAGGAGTGGAAGAGCCGGGCTATAGGGGAAGCACAGGTCCTGTTTTCTAGGTAATACCAACATGCTTTCCAAGGAGGTTGCATCAATTGACATTCCAACTAGAGGACCACAGTTTTTGTTGTTCTTCATCTTGGCCAACACTTAGTATTCTCTGGCTTTTGCATTTTGCTCTATCTGGTGAGAGTAAAATGGGATTGCATTTTAGTTTGAATTTGCATTTCTTTATTAATGCAGCTGGAGTTTATGTTGATGGGCCCCCAAAGTATTTTTATGGGATTGATCTTATTGAATTGCTTTAAAGAATTCACATTGTTAGTGTTATACAGTATTGGAATACTTTCTCCTTATAGTTCAAACAATACACATAAAGCAAATGTGTACTACACTTCCATGGGTCTCCCAGACCTGTTTTACAAATTTACATATATGTATGTTATAGACTAACTAGAGGCCCGGTGCACGAAAGTTGTGCACGGGTAGGGTCCCTAGGCCTGGCTGGCAATCAGGGCCGACCGGGGCCTTCCGGCTGCCAGCCGGGGCCTTCCTGTATTCTGCGCCACCCCCTGGTGGTCAGTGCACATAATAGCGAGTGATCGAACTCTTGGTCTCCCGGCCGACCCCCTGAGGGGACGCTCTGCATATTAGCCTTTTATATATATAGATGTTTGTGTCCCCCACAAATTCATGTATTGAAATTCTAACCCTCATCCCCCAATGTGATATTGGTAGATGGGGCTTTGGGAGGTAATTAGGCCATAAGGGTGGAGCCCTCATGAATGGGATTAGTGCCCTTATATGCAGAAGCACAGAGCCTACTCCAGCCCTCTGCCATATGAGAATGTAATGAGAAAACAACTGTCTCTAAGCCAGATCTGCCAGCAGCTAGATATTTAGACTTCCCAGACTCCAGAACTGTGAGAAAAAAAATGTTTGTGGTTTAAGCCACCCAGTCTATGGTAATTTGTTATGGTAGCGAAATAATGCAGAAAATCTAATTCATCTACAACTGGCTTGTTTGCCTTGATTGCTTGCTCACTTAGCTTGAGCTCATCAAGTTGGCCTGGTGCCAGGCTCGGTGAACCTGAAGCTACTCTCTGGTTCAAACCAGCTTGCTGCTGGGACTCTATTTTCTGCACTTTCCTACAATAACCTGTGCACCCACCTGTTTCTTATAGGCTCTGAGCATCTGTCACTTGGGACATTCATTTCCTGGGCCTCAAGGTACCAGCTTTTCACCAGGCCCCCAGACTCCTAGCTTGTTCACATCACCTCTACTTTCACACTCCATCTCTTTAATCATATGTGCCTGGCACAAGGCAGGAAGCACACCTAGGTGAGGCATGGGTGTCGTCATGACAAGAGATGACATTACAGTCCACGTGACACGTGATAAGGGATAGATGAGGGGATCAGATTCTAGCAGTCTACAGTGGTCCTGGCACTGACACGGAACTGCTGAGAAAATCAGCTTATGACAGAGACATCGCATTTGGCTTTTCTTTATATTCAGGTTTCTCATGGGGTGCATATTAATTTCCAGACTTCAAAACTTTCATTGATGGAGCCTATAAAACTTGAATGATTACAACTGTAATTACCACTTCAAGGCCTCACTAGTCTTGAAATCAGTTCTTTCTCCCCCCACACTCCCCCCTCCCCTACCCTGCCAGGTGCCAAAAGCAAAGCACAGCACAGGTAAGTTGTTTAAAGGCAACAAAGGGAAACATGACTATACTCTCTCCTGGTTTACACATTGTAGTAGATGCTGTCTATGCTGCTCACGTCCTTGGGCCTCCTGTTCTGAAGTTTGCTTTCAGAGCGTTCTGGTACGTGAGGAGGGCTGCCTATGGCTCTTGCCTAAGTGCCTTCTCTGACTCAGGAGTGTGCTTTCCCCAGCTGGGAGCGGGGCAGAGGTGCAGGAGCATGAACACGCTGAAGAGGGAGAGGAGTTGGTGGGCAAGTGCCTCAGCTTTCTTGCCTGTCAGTGGGCAGTTCTGACGTGTGTTCAGTTTCTCAGACAGTTCACAGCAGGGCTGAGCCCACCCGATAAGCCCTCACCAATGTGCCCTTTAAGGACACTCCTTCCTCTCCCGTCTCACTCCTTCCGAGTGCCTCTGGGAGTCACCTCCTAGATCCATTATTGGTATCTCAGTCCTGGTTCCGAGCCGGATTTTGGGAGGAACCCCAATGAAGACAAGGACTCCTTTGAAAATGTGGAAAAACAAGGTCCCTCTCCCAAGGAAAATAAACCTACTCTGAAGAAACCTAGATAAGATTTGGTGGTGTTTGTTTTTTTAAATTCTCACCCGGGGAGATTTTTACATTGCTTGTAGATAGAGTGGAAGAGAGGGGGTTGGAGGATGGGGGGGGGGGGGGGGAGAAATATCAATCAATGTGAGAGAGATCAATGTGAGAGAGACACACAGATTGGTTGCCTCCCACACGTGCCCCTACTGTGCCTGCAACCAAGATATGTGCCCTTGACCTGGAATCAAACCTGCGACCCTTTGGTGCACGGGCCGATGCTCTAACCATGAGCGACCGGCCAGGGCAAGATTTGGAGGTATTTTAATATTAGGACCAGGGTTCCAGAACCACCCTAGCTCCTCTTTCCCCCCTTTCCCGAAAGATTACGGAGGGAGCCATATATAAGGATCAGCAGCCTAACTAGAATGAGATTATTAATAACTTTGAAGTGTCTAAAACCCCTTTATACCCTGTTTAAAATTCTGTGTGTGTGGCTGGCTCCTTCCACGTTTTTCTCCAAACTCCCTAACGCATGACAGTAGAAAAGGTGTCGGTAAGCAATGGCTGACACCTGTTTCTACAGCAAGGCTTCTGCTGTGCTTTCAGACCTGGCAACTCGGGCACCTTCGCCGGGATTGCAATCTTCTAAACTCTCATTTTCCACCTGTTGGAATCGTGTTATCTCTGCAGGGTCTGGTGCAAATCCCACCTCCTCCATAAGTCGTTCTCCGGTTACACCAACCAATCAGAAACCTGCTACCAGCTCCGTTCCCACAGTTCCTAGCGATGGTTTGGTTTCGGGTCAGCTACCTGCCTGCCCCCGCAGACCCCAGACCCGGCGCAGGGCCTTCCAGCGCCCGGGGAAGGGCTTCCCTAAGGACTACAATTGGTCTGAAACATGTTCTGCTGAGAACAGTTTTGCACCGAGCCCAATCCATGTTGATACCTTTGAAAATAGGTTTTTCTTGACTTCAGAGAGGAAGGGAGAGGGAGAGAGAGAAACATCAATGATGAGAAATCATTGATCGGCTGCGTCCAGCACGCCCCACACGGGATCCAGCCCGCAGCCCGGGCAGGTGTCCTGGCCGGGAATCGAACCGTGAGCTCCTGGTTCGTAGGTCCACGCCAGCCTGGGGTTGATACCTTCTTTTCCATTTTACCAAGCGCGTTTAATTTTCACCTTGTGAATTTCCCCAATGGCCTAAGCGGTCAACCCGAGAAAACAATTCAGTGAGGTCACACCAAAGGCAAAGCCCTGGAAAAACGGGCCAAATCTCACTTGTTTCATGGCCCAGGATGCTTAAGGGGGGGAACCCCAACTTTCAGAAGCCCCCCAAGTCAGATGCTCTTTTGAACTCCAGACCCGAAGTTGAGAATGGAGAGAACTCGCTCCCGGCCCAATTAGGTGGCCGAGAGAACCGCGACGGGTTAACGCGGAGAGAACTTCCTCCTGGAAAAAAGTGTCGTCATGGGACAAGCTTCCAGTTCCACTCCGTACGTGGCCCGGGCCTTTATCCTAGTTGGCGGTCTTCCAGCGCCCGAGGCCACCCCACCCTGCTGCTCCCTCGGGCTTCTCCACACCCAGCGGAACCGTTTGCACGTCTCGAGGGTGTGACGGTGACGCCGTGACGTCGCTCGGAGACGGGCCGCGAGCGGAGTACGTCCTAGCGATCTCGAGGGACTGGGGCCCCTGGCGCAGAGAAGCGCGCTGAGGGCACGGGGGCGGGACTAGCATATGACTGATGTCCACACACGCCTATCGCCTTTCTGATTCCTTCTCAAACAAACCAATGAATGCGACCACGGAGACGGCAACGTGCCCCCCGCCGCCAGAAGTGGCTCCGCCCCTCCCCTTGGCCGCCTTTGGCCGCCATGCTGAGTGTGGCCACCTCGTCTGTGCTACTTGAGGGCCTTCTCTGGCTCTCCGATGTCCTCGCTGGACTCCTTCCTAAGCACCCCTGCCTTTTCACTGTCAACTTGCACCTTCTCGGGCTTCTTGCTTGCTCCCTGCTAATTCAGCCGCACTTGATATGGCGGAAGGGGGCGGGGCCGAGGCGGGGCGTGACCGGCGCGGTGACGTCAGCGCGCTGCGTGTCGGCAGGTGAAGGGAAAGTTTGGCCCGTGCGTGGGGCCGGGGTGGAGGGCGGGACAGAGGGGCCGGGCCCAGGCGAAGCTCCAGTCGCTGCTGCAGCGGAGGCCCAGGACGGGACTTGGACCGGGCCGGGGAGTGCCGGACGCAGAGGAGCAGGAGGCGAGATCCGCCGGAGCTTCGAGCCCCCGCCGCTCCGCCGCGCGGTGACCCCGCACCCAGGCGCCCTGCGGACCTGGTTGTTCTCGAGGAGATTGGTGGGGTCGCGGCGGCAGCGGTTGGGGGTGGGGAGAGGCGCGGCGAGGAAAGGAGAGAGGTCAGCGAGTTGGAGGGAGGACCGAGAGCTCAGCTGCCGTCATGTCCGAGGACTCGAGCGCCCTGCCCTGGTCCATCAACAGGGACGATTACGAGCTGCAGGAGGTGATCGGTGAGAGCTGGCGCCCCTGAGTGGGGAGGCACCGCTCTGGGCAGCGGGTGACACGCGGGATCGTGGAGACCCGCGGGATCCTGGGCACTAGCGGGAGCTCGGCAGCGCAGGACGCACAGATATGAATGGGCGCTCGTGGGGCCCCCGGGTTGGTGGGGGCGCGCGGGTGGGTTCCAGTTTGGTGTGCCGCGGGAGAGATAATGAAGATATGCGCCCGTGGGGCGGGGTGGGGCGGGGTTGGAGGGGCTCCGCATAGACGGACGCAGTGATAGATGTTTGAACCTGAGCGACAGATGTCTCCTGGGGAGGAAGAAAAGTGCAGGCTTGTCAAGGCTGCGCGAAGAAATGGGTGTTGGAGTCGAGACACAGCCACCTACCTCCGTGGGGGATTGTGGGATCGGGTGCTTTATAGTTCATTCCCGCCTCGGGGGAAATGCCCCCGAAATGCCGGGCGTCGCTGGGGGGGAGCTGGGTGGGGATCCCCTCGAGAGGAAGCTGCAGGTACCGTTCTGAGCAACGTGGACACAACTTCCTACCGCTGGGGACCGACTCTCTGTCTGGGGAGACAGACGTGAAATAAGTAGACAAATGAAAACAATTACAGGCTTTTGGCAAGTGCTGGGCAATGAGATGTTCTGATAAGGAGTGACCTGGAGACCTCCTGAGGGCGATTTCAAGGAAAAAAAGTCTTTTTCTGCGGCGTTGAAGCTGAGCACGGAAGGATGAGGAGGAGGCTGAAGAGCCTAGGGGAGGTGGTCCCTGCCGAGGGAGGAGAAACGGCAGAGGTTCCGAGGAGGGGGCCGGCTTGATGTGTGTCAGGAGCCCAGGGGCAGAAAGAAAGGAAAGGGAGAGGCGGGACCTCGGGGACCTTCGCCGCCCTGGTAAGGATTTTGGAATTTGAAGTGTTACTGGAGAGCTTCAGGCGGGGACATGGCATCGAGTGGGCCTGGCTGCTGTGTGTGGAGTGGATTTGAAAGGGGTCCAGGAATACCCGTTGGCAGAGCACAGAACTGGCGCGGAGATTGTCATTCTCCGAGAGGCACGTGTGATGGGGGATGGTGGGGGAGGTGTTTGTTGGAAAACAGTACTCCAGTGGCTTTAGAGATGAAAAAAGGGGTGGGTGTCCTTAAACAGAAGCCCCGTCCAGCGGACACGGGCAGACCCCCGTTTGTTGAAGGAAGGAGGTTGTCTCCGTTGCTACAGCAGCATCCTGTCCTAAAATTAGTTCTATCGCAGAGACGGGCTGGACGCTCACTAGCTGTCACGGGGGTGTGAGTGTTTATTGTACTGTATCTGCGTTTTAGAGAAACTCGGTCATGTTTCTCTTTTCCGCTTGCCTCTTGTTTCAAAACAAATCTGGGCTCAGTTTTGTCGGAAAGACATCCCATCTTCTCCCTTAAGCCGCTTCATGGGCCTGTGTGCTCCTTACATGCTGTGTCTTGACATGTGCGGGTTGGTGCGCAGGACAGCTGCTAGCCAGGGCTCTGCCTCCAGAGATGGCTCCGGGCCCCTCAGAGTTTCATGCTGAAGGAAGGGACTAAGGGGGAGATTCCAAAGCAGTGTCTGAAACCAAGAAAAGCGTCCCTGTGGTGGTTTTAGAAGAGGAGTTTTTGCTTTCCTTTGGGTGGACATCTTTTTAGGGGGAAGAGGATGCTTGTGGTCATTCTTAATGCCTTTGCTATGAAGGTGGCATCAGAGTAGAAATTTGGGGACCAGTAGGGTGTCCCGGAGTGGAGACAGGGGAGTCTCAGTGCTCTGGGGTAGGGTTAGTCTTGTTCTCATTCAGAGTGGTCCGTGGATAAAAGGTTGAGAATGCCAATGTTAAGATTTGACCCCCTTATTTTTTAAAATAACTTTACTGAGGTATAATTTAATACCATAAAACTCACCCATTTGTAAGCATAAAGTTCAGTGATTTTTAGTAACTTTACTGTGTTGTGTACCAATCAGCATAATCCAGTTTTAGAACATTTTCATCACCTCATTGAGATCCCTTGTGCCTGTTACAGTTCATCCCTGTTCCCACTTCCAGCCCCAGGCAACCACAAATCCACTTTCTGTCTCTATAGATTTGCCTTTTTTGGACGTTTCATGTAAATGGGATCATATAACATGTGGTCTTTTGTGTTTGGCTTCTTTCATTTAGCATAGTATTTTTAATTGTTGAAAACAATTTTATGGAGGTATAAGTTATATACCATAACATCCACCAGTTTTAACTGTATTGTTCTATAGGTTTTTAGTAAATTTACAGAGTTGTTCAATCATCACTACAATCCAATTTTAGAACATTTTCATCATTCCAAAAAGATGCCTCATGTCCATTTGTAGTCACTCCCTGTCCCCACCCCCTGCTTCAGGCAACCACAAATCTACTTTCTGTCTCTCCATATTTGCCTTTTCTGGATTTCCATATAAAAATAGTCATATAATATGTGATTCTTTGTGTTTGGTTTCTTTTATTTGACAGTTTTTTTTGAGGTTCATTCATGTTATAGCTTATAGTATATATTATGCCCCTCCCCTCCCTCCTTTTTTTGGATACCACTTGCTGGACATTGGGCTTCTGTTTTTTGGCTGTGAGCACTTCATGTGAACATATTTCATTTTTCTTGAGTGGAATTGCTGCATCAGAAGGTAAAGTGACTGTACCATTTTACATTCCCATTAGTGATGTACGAAGGTTCCTATTTCTCTGTACCCTTGCCAGCATTTGTTGTCTGTCATTTTGGTTGTAGCCATTCTAATGGGTGTGAAGTAGAATCTCATTGTGGTTTTTTTGCATTTCCCTGATGACTGATGATGTTGAGCATCTTTTCATGTGCTTTATTAGCTTTCCATATATCTTCTTTGCTGAAATATCTATTCAAATCTTTTGTCTTTTCGGGTTGTGCTTTGGGTTGTGTTCTTATTGAGCTAGAGGGGTTTGTCTGTGTATTCATTCTGGATTTGAGGACTTCGTAAACTGATACATGATTTCAAATATTTTCTCCCAGTCTGTAGCTTGTTTTTTCAGTTTCTTTCTTTCTTTCTTTCTTCTTTTTTTTTAGAGTACTTATTTTTATTTTTAAAATTTTATTGTTTAAAGCATTACATACGTGTCTTTTCAGTTTCTTTTTTTTAAAATAGTTGATGTTTTTTAAAAATATATTTTATTGATTTTTTACAAAGAGGAAGGGAGAGGGATAGAGAGTTAGAAACATCGATCAGCTGCCTTCTGCACACCTCCTCCTGGGGATGTGCCCGCAACCAAGGTCATGCCCTTGACCGGAATCGAACCTGGGACCTTTCAGTCCGCAGGCTGATGCTCTATCCACTGAGCCAAACCAGTGAGGGCTCTTTTCAGTTTCTTAATGGTGTCTTTTAAAATACAAAAGTTGCCCAGCCAGTATTGTTCAGTGGATGAGAGGACCTATGAACCAGGAGGTCACAGTTCATTCCTGGTTAGGTCACATGCCTGAGTTATAGGTTCGGTACCCAGTCAGGGTATGTGTGGGAGGCAACCAATTGCTGTTTCTCTCTTACATCAATGTTTATCTCTCTCTCTCCAATCAATAAAAACATTTAAAAAATACAAAAGTTTTGAATTTTGATACAAGTTTATCACTTTTTTCTTTTATCGATTGTGCTTTTTTGGTGTTGTAGCTAAGAAATCTTTACTTATCCAACATCAAAACATAAAAAACAGTCCTAACCAGTTTGGCTCAGTGGATAGAGCATTGGCCTGCGCACTCAAGGGTCCCAGGTTCGATTCCGGTCAAGGGCATGTACCTTGGTTGCAGGCACATTCCCAGTCGGGGGTGTGCAGGAGGCAGCTGATTGATGTTTCTCTCTCATCCATGTTTCTAATTCTCTATCCCTCTCCTTTCCTCTCTGTAAAAAATCAATAAAATATATTTTATAAAAACAATAAAAAAACCCATAAAAAAAAAAGCAGAAACCCGATGTTCATAAAGTGGTGTCTGAAAAAAAGGGAATATAATATATGCAACAGGCTACAACATGAATGAACCTCAAAAAAATATGCCAAATAAACCAAACACAATCACATATTATATGATTTAGGACTCTGATACATTTGAGTTAATTTTTCTGTATGGTGTGAGGTAAGGTGAACCATTTTGTTTTACAGATGAAAACACTGAGACATAGAAAGGCAAAATGACTTGTGTGGAGTCATAGAGCTAATTAATGGCAAAGGCAGTACTGGGGTCCAACTCTCCTTTTCCTATTTCAGGGTCCTTGTTCCTGCATCTGTATTTGATTAGTTTTTGGATATAAACTGGGAGGTGATGGTCAGAGTCTGACAGATTAAAGGAATAGCCTTACAATGAAAACATGTGGCAGGAGCAGATATTTTGTTGATAACCCTTTCTGATGTAGTAGGATTTGTTCTCTTTTGTATATACTATTCTTAGAATGTTCTCCCTCTCATTAGTAAGTTCCTGCCACTCCACTCCTCACACACTCTCACCCATCTTCCCAACAGAGAGGAAAAAAAAGATTTTCCTCCAACTACAAGTAGCAAGGCTCAATAAACAGTGTGTTCTTATTCTAATGTTTCTTCTGTACTGAAATGTTTGGAATACAGGATTTTGTAATAAGCTGTGGTCTTCAAAATAAATTCTTTGTTGTTTTCAGATTGCACTCAGTTATTTTGGGGAAACAAATGCTTGGAGTCCAGAAAAGATAAAGCTTGGGGAGGGGGAGGTTAATTTGAATTTTTTATTTTCAAGGGATTGTATTATAAGGAAACTAGAGGCCCGGTGCATGAAATTTGTGTGCAGGTAGGCTCTCTAGGCCTGGCCATGGGGCCTTCCGGCTGCCGGCCGGGGCCTCCCTTCATTCCGCACCTCCTCCTGGTGGTCAGCGCACATCATAGCGAGCGATAGAACTCCTGGTCTCCCAGTTGAACTCCTGTGGGGACACTTTGCATATTAGCTTTTTATAGTTATAGATGGTATAATGATGTCTTTCTGACCAAAGCACATTATATTTAT